CCTTAACAGATTCACTACTATAAAACCCAGATGTGGGTGTGGCCAGCATTCCCTGTTTTTACAGTATACGACAGTGAGATTCGTATCTCTTCCCAGGTCACACAGCTAAGGATGGAGGAACCTGGATCTGAGCTTTACATCATCTACCTGCACATCTGGCATCACCCATGGTTAATGCTGACACACATAGGAAAAAATACAACTCCTCTCCCCACAAGAGCCAGTCACTCTCGCCTCTCCCCTCCCTTTTAGGCCTCATTCTCAGTGACTCTCCTTCCTCTGGCCCCTCCCTGCCCGTGCACAGCAATGCCCCGCTCACCTCACCACTCAGAGTGGGCATGGCAAGGCCCATTTCCCTAGCCCCTGCACACTCAGTCTTACCACTATCATCGCTATAAGAACACTGGCATTCATCTCACTGTTGCCCTTTATTTGGCTTATTTATTAATTACACAAAAAGACCCAAGACACCCACAGTTCTGCATTTCTTGGACTCTAAGATCTATCCCCACCACGGCCCCCATCTCCCACTCCTCCTCAAAAACTGGTATTTCCTCAGGGCCCTCTAGACTCAGTCATCGGCAAAATTCTATCGCCCACTGAGTTCCTGAGGATTCTCTCCACCTACTTGTTCTCACTTAAGTCTTCTCAATGGGGTTCTCATTTCACTCTCAAGGGGTGAAAACTGTTTCCTAGAGGCAAGGTGGATAACAATCTTAGATATTACAATAATGTTTGCCTATCCAAACTCTACCCTATCCGACAAAATCTTATTCCTTAATATTTCATTTCAAGGGGAAGGAGTAGGCACAAAATGTCTAAAAGGGTCTGAAGGGGCAAAAGTGATAAAAAACAGGCTGGGGGCACTGCTCCAACTGAGACATGGTGCCAGCCTGAGGATACGCTTCCCCTGCAGGCCTCTGCAGTGGCTGCTTTCTCTTCATAGCCCTCAAACCAGTGGCCTACAGGTGGGTTAGGTGACTGCAGCATCCACCTCTCCCCCCTCCCAATTTCTGATGCCCCCAGCTCTGAGTACCACATCAGCCTTTGCCACTGTCTGCCCATCTGCGTTGCAGTCATCTTCCGACTCCCCCAGGTCACAACCTCCCCTTCTTCTCGGAAGATCTTAGTATTAGTTCATGGCTCATTACTATTCTCCAAATTTACTCCTGGTGTAGCTCTTACTGATTTCAATATTCATATGTTGATCCATCTAGTACACTGCCTCTTGGTTGATATCCTCTCCTTCAATGGTCTCCTTCATCCTAAGCAACCCAGGACTCCAAGACAGCCTAGTAAGACCCCCACCCCGCCTCTGCCATTTGTTCCCTCGCCTGTTCTGAGTTGAGTCATTAACCATGACTGCAACCTCTCCATATGTTCAATTCTAAGGGCCCCTCTCTGACAACCACCTCCTACATTTCCAGCTCATCCCTTCTTGTCCCCAGCACCAAGAAGTCTTTGACCCCACCAGGCCTACAATCTACTGATTATATTACTTTCCACTGCCCCTCATTCCCCTCTCTTCCCAGGTAAAATTCCCTAAGCAGTGGCTGCGACCATGCCTTTACACATGCTCTCACCTCCAGTGCCCCTTTCCAGCTGTGTCCATTCACTCAGCTCAACAGGATCCCGTATTAAACCCAACTTTCTGCCTACTCCATGATTGTACCCACACAGGTATTCACGGCTGGAGAAACAAAATCATGCCGACGGACCTCACTTTAAATCCATCTGCTACCACCCTCAGGCAGACCCTAAGTTGTCTGACAGTCACACCATATCTCCTTAGTCCATTTACTCACCCACCTCCTAGAGGACTCTTTCCTACCCTTTCCCTCATACCCCTAGTGCCTTCCTCCCCCATCCTCACTGTAAGCTGATGACCTGGCTTCCTATTTTAAGACAGTATCCAGAAGGATCCGCCATGAGCGCACCCAAACAACACCCCTGTCAGTCAAGCCCAACCTGTGCTGTCCATTCCCTTCCCTCTCACCTGAGCAAGGACATCACCCTGGCAATTCTCCTTTCTGCTGCATCATCAATAATCCCTTCTCCACTAGACTGCTGCCATCAACAGAACATGCTGTCACTTCTCCCATTCAAAAACAAGATCAAAACTCTTGGCTTTACCTTTCCCTCCATTTGCTATCCCAGTACTCTGCTCCAAATTATAGCAAAACTCTTCAAAACAGCTGCCTATATTCAAGTGTTTTCAGTCCTTTCCTCCCATTTATCATAAAGAATTTCAAATCCATAAGAATGTTGAAACAGTCATGTAAATCTCTGTGAAACTTCGATTTAGATTGCCCTATGGGTGGCATTTTGCATATTTGTTTCCACTTTCTATACATATATCTCTCTCTCCCCCTACCCGAGAGTTTTTTGACAGTAATCCTCATGACACTTCACCATGTGGCAGTTACTAAGCTACTGCCTCTCAGCTCTAAGCCTACCCTCTCTCCTCGGCTGTGATGCGGAAACTGGGACATTCAGCTTTGCCAACTGCTGCCTGTTAGGCTCTACCAAGAAGGGGCACTAGAGGGAGACTGCAGGCTACGAGGGGAAGAAGGCACTTGCTCCTCTCTGTAGGTTGCGTGTTAGGAGAGCGTCACCGAGCAGCATTCCAGCCTGGCTGCAGCAGGGCCCACCTGTAGCAGCAGCTGAACCCCAGGTGCAGATTTTCACTCACAGAACCAGCCTTATTAAAACACCAGCACCAGCAAGCACGCCCCCGCTCCAGGGTCTGGGTCCTGGACACACAATCCCCTCCCCCAAACTCAGGGACACTAGCACCGGCCAAGACCTTCCCTGGAGGTCTGAGCTTGAGGTCCAGAGGGGCCCCCTCCAAGCTCATTAGTGGCCTCAGGTTGCCACATTTGGCGTGGTTGATCATTCCTCACTCCCTGAAATACCTTCTCATTTGGATACCACGCTCTTCTGGTGTTCCTCCTACCTACTGGTGTTTCTTCAGCTCTCTGAACTCCTAACATTGGGGAAAAGGAACTCCCAGTCTTTTTCCCACATACACTCATGTCCTTGGTGACCAATTCCAGTTTTGTGACCTTAATTACCATTTATGAATGTTGTGCAGGTAAGAGAGAGAAGTAATCTAGTCTATTGCTAGTGGGAGAGTAAATGAGTACCTTTTTTTGAGGGCAACTTAAAATCCATGTCTCAGAATTTTCTTATATTCTCCCATACGAATGCAAAGATAATAAGTATTAGAATACTCACTGAAACAATGTTTTTAATGGCAGAATTAAAAAATAAAATTGTAGTAACACCTGTTTGCTTTAAATTAACTGTGCTAATTATAAATGAGGCCTCCAGTACCATTTGTTTAAGCAGATTCCTTAGGATTTGCTAGATAGATGATTTAAAGCTAGGATTCTGGAGTTAGACCACTTAGCTTCAACTCCTAGCTCACTCACTAGATGTGTCGTTTTGGGCAAGTCATTGTGCCTCAGTTACCCCTTCCTAAAATGACACAAGAATGTTGTGAGGATTAGATGAGTTAACACAGGTTACAGGTTTAAGGAAATATATGGTGCTCACCATGTGTACATTAAATGTTAGCTAACGTAACCACTGCTACATTTACTAGGATATAAAATTAATTTTTTATCAATTAGATTTCTCAGCAATTTGGAGTCTCTTCTCAATCATTCTGAAACACTGAGGGACTTACTTTTAGTCTTTACTGTCAAGCTAAAGGATGATAATGCAGAGCTATCAGTTGAATGTTTTACTCCCTTGAGGCTTAAATGGGCACATACCAGCAAGGCAGCCTTAGCCCTGCCAAGTCTCGGCCCCTAAGGTTCTGAATGAGTCAGAAACCACATTGTGCACACAGTTCCTCACCTCACACTTCCGATCTGCTTCGGAGACATTGAGGTTGTTTATGTTCTGCTCGATGGTTCTGTGTAAGAGCTTCTTCTTTGGCTTTGGAGCCCTTTTGGTTGTTCCCATTTCAGTAGCACTTCCATCTAAAAGGAGAAACACAACTGTGTACTGCAACGGCTGCTTTTTTTTTTTTTGAGATGGAGTCTCGCTCTGTCATCCAGGCTGGAGTGCAGTGGGGTGATCTTGGCTCACTGCAAGCTCCGCCTCCCGGGTTCATGCCATTCTCCTGCCTCAGCCTCCCGAGTAGCTGGGACTACAGGCACCCGCCACCGCGCCTGGCTACTTTTTTGTATTTTTTAGTAGAGACGGGGTTTCACCGTGTTAGCCAGGATGGTCTCGATCTCCTGACCTCGTGATCCGCCCGTTTTGGCCTCCCAAAGTGCTGGGATTACAGGCTTGAGCCACCGCGCCCGGCCCAAGGGCTGCTTTGAAGCATGTGATGAACTTAACTTACTCAAGTTCTTCAAAACCTGAAAGAACGGTCATAATTTAAACATGTGAGGCCGGGTGTGGTGGCCCACGCCTGTAATCCCAGCACTTCAGAGGCTCAGGCAGACAGATCGCTTGAGCTCAGGAGTTCGAGACCAGCCTGGCCAACATGACGAAACCCCATCTCTACAAAACAGTACAAAAATTAGCCGGGCATGGAGACGCACACCTGTAGTCCCAGCTACTTGGGGATGCTGAGGCAGGAGGATCGCTTGAACTCGGGAGCCAGAGGCTGCCGTGAGCCAAGATCGCACCACTGCACACCAGCCTGGGTGACAAAGTGAGCCTCGTCTCAAAAAAAAAAATTAAATAAAAAAATAAAAACAAAAAAAACCCCAACGAAACAAAAAAAACATGCAGTTCTCTCAAAACATCAGGCATATTTAATCTGCAACTTATGGAGAAACCAAACTATTAGATTTGGCTTCTCATGCAAGTCCATTTCCAAAGACTCCCAGATCAGAAGTTCCTTAGTTGGTGATGTTTACTCAACCTGGCATAAACAAAATATAAACGCTTTTATAAGGCCCTTCTCTTTTTCAAGGAAACATAACTTTAGTGTTTGAGTATCTTCTCATGTAAGACCATATATGGTTCTAAAAATGTCCTGTTTTCAATAAAATGAGATCACTGATTTTTGTGACCTTCTTCTAGTATATTACTCAAATAACTACCTGGTATGCCCTAAAAAAAAAAGCCACTTAAATCCAGATCCCTAGCCACCTACCTGCAACATGGCCTTCCACTTCTTCCAAAGACGGTGCATCTTTGCCCAGTCCCCCAAGGACTCTGTATACGTCGGCATGGACGGCGTCCACACGTACGGCATAGATCTTAGTGCTGGCATCCAGAGTGCCTGCAGCCACCTGGTCAAACAATCAGAGTGCATTCACAAAGATGCACAAAAAAGAACTTCTGAACAGGTAAAACACAGCAAGCTTCACAAAATATTTACTTGCCCCAAGGAAACAATGACAAAGATCCCTCTATGACTGATAGAGAATAAACAGAATATATATTCTGTCTGTATTTCATCAGTTTAGGAAAAGAAAGTAAATTAACTAACATAACATCTAAATGAGAAGTCTCTCGTGTATTTGCAGAATTCAACTGTGTTATGCCAAACAGTAGAAATCATCATTTAATTCAGATGCAAGAGAAAGTGGACATCCTTCTTACTTTAAAGTTGGTTGGTTCGGTGTCTTTCTGTTTAAGAATCTCTGACATAAAATCAATCAAGTGCAAACCAAAAGCATTCTTGGTAGTGATTTTCTGAAAACAGAAAATTGCAGAAAGGATTATTATTTATAGCCTAGGCTCATGTAAATAATGCTGCTTTGAACAGAGGAAGCTAAGTCTTTATATAGGAATACCCACACATTGTCACTGACCTCTTTTCCCAAAAACACCTGTCAAGAGCCAAATCCTCACAGGCATGTCCTCATGTTCAAGGCTAGGGAATGACGGCACAAAATTCCTGAATGCTCGGTGTGTGCAGGCCCTGCTCTAAGCACTGCACACAAAGGGACTCACCCTCCAAACAACTTCATGAGGCAGGCACTACCCTCATTCTCCAGAGGACACGGAAGCAACATGGTTGGGTGGCGCCCACACAGCTTAGAGCATGTAGCCTCCAACTCAGGCTAGCTCCAGAACTCTACTATTCACTCATGTGCCATGCTGCCTTTCCAGATACACGGCAGATAGCAGGCAGCCTCTCAGGGAGGTGCACCACGGGTCTAGAGGAAACAGTAAAACCACCAGCACTTCTGGTGGAAACCACCAGCACTAAGATGACTCACTGGAGAATCATCATCATTGATTGTGCATTCTCTACAGAAACAAGATAGCTGGATTGCCCCTGTGATCAAGGGATCACATCTTCAGTAATAAACCAGCAGATACTCACATTTTCAGTGGACAGTTTGATACAGGTGGAGTAATGTTCCGTAATCTGTGTGTTTGTAAACTTAGGCATAGTAGCTGAAACATCAATAATCCTAAATGGAAAACAAAAACAAACAACTCTGGCAAGAATCCATGATAGTTTAAATTTTCAAAACCTAGACCCATGAAGTTTTGTGGAGATGCCTGGACCTACGCAGCCCACATCAAGGCGGCTGCCTCAAGGAGAGCCAGCCCAGAAGCCCCTCACCTGCTGGACGGGGAGGCCAACAAGCGAGGCGAGTCGGTGCTGAACTGCAGATCAAAGACCCTCGACCGCCTCCGCTGCAGCCGCTCCTTCTCATCGTCATTCTGAGGAAAGTCTTCGAGGACTGGGGTGCCGGGAATATTGAGAGGCGCCTTCCTGGGCAGGGGCATCGGGAACACCCGCTCTGAAGGGGAGGAGGCACTGTGGGGGTGTCCTCGGGTCTCCAAAGAAGAGTTATTCATTGTGGCTGGCAGTGCTGGAACAAAATTCTTGCTCAAGAAACCTTCAAGAGAACATTTCCTACATCCAAAGAAGACTTGAGCCTGTCACAGGAGGGAGGTTCAGCACATGCTCTCCACGAAGACCTTCTCCAACTCTAATACTTAACGGCTAGAACCTCTAGAGTTTGGGTTTCTGGGACGTGCGTGGGGGGCCATAGGTTTCTGATGCTTCTTTGCTAATCGGGGACAAACAATCCACTCTGCAGCTGTTGTGAATGGAAGTACTGCACGGATATAAAGATGGACGATAAGCTCACAAGCTGGACAACAGACACATATAACCCATCATCAGGTACGCAAGAGGCAGACGCTGAGATAAGGGTGAGGTATGGGCTATAGAGTCAGACAGGCTGGGCTCGGATCCCAGCTCCTCCACAGCTCGGCAAGCAGAGAAAAAACAACATAAATATGTAAAACAAACCGAACGTTCCAAAGAATCATCCAATTACTCGCTAACTACAAAGGGAAAAATGTCTTTTACAATAAAAACTCTACCAGTGACCACATTAACCAGTCAAATGTAGCCTCACTAAAAATCAATCCGAAAGTTACTCATCTCTTCACGTGACACAATGTGAAATTCACAGCATCACCCAGGAAGTATTTCCACCCAACACGTTTAACCTAAATTTAACCAACGAACTTTAGATCTTTAACTTCT